AATTTATTTTTCTTTAAGTTCCAGGTCTTTACAATTGGTATTAGAGTCGCATTTCTTGAAACCATTCCTGGCACAAAGACTTAAAAACACCAAATACAAGCTATCACTCAACATTTTCTTATGAAATGTAGGTACAAAAAAATGAGGAGAGGAAGACCCTTACTAAATCAAGCGGCCCGGGATGGCTCACTTCGATAAGATGTTGACTGACTCTTTGAGATGCTGAAGAGACTCATCTCTGTCCAGCAAGCCCAGGAGGAAAGGAGAGAGTTACCTAACCTTGCCCCACTGCCATAATTTAAGTCACCCTTGCAATGGGAATATCCCGAGCCACCCCAATACAACCCTACACCTCCACCGTACCATCCTGCACCACCATAATACAGTCCAGTGCCTTCAATGCATTATTCGATACCGCTATAGTACAACCCGATGCCTCCACCGTATCATCCGACACCACTATAAGGCCACTCGGTCCCTCTCCAGCATAATCTAATTCCTCTTCTACAGGACCTAATTCCACCCATGATGGACTCAGACTACATTGAAAGGTACAAAAGATTAAATCTATCTACCTTTACGGGTGCATTATCTTTTGAAGAGGTTGAGTATTGCTTAGCTGATGCAGAGAAGACCTACGTGATTCTTAGGGTAGTTCCCGAACAGAAGATTGTATTTGCCACCGACATATTTGTGGGAGAGGCAGACCGCTGGTAGTACCTCAAAAGGCCACCCTCCTCGGTCCAGTCATTTGGGAACAGTTCCTGATAGCCTTCAATACAAAGTACCTTTCATAGCACCTCTTACATTTGAAGGAGATGGAGTTTGCACACTTAGTCCAAGGTGAAATGACTATGTCGGAGTATGTTCAAAGGTTTCTAGAGTTGGGCCAATATTCCCTTAAGAGCATGATGGAGGAGGGCAGGAAGATAAAGAAGTTTGAGTGGGGCCTCCGCCCTAAGATCAGACAGCAGCTGTACGTATTTGAGCTTAGTACTTATTCATTCATTCTAGTCAAGGTACAATTAATGGAGAGAAAACTTTGCATCTTTCCTCTAGTAGTGGGGAATCCCAAACTCCTAGTTTCACACCACAGACCAGCACCCACTACACTGATTCAGCAGAATAAGAGGCCTAGGCCAGTGACTCAGACTCCTCCTCTAGCTTCAGTAACAGGATGTGGTAGGATTTGCCAGCACTGTAGCAAGAATCATGAGGATCAACGCTGCTATCGTCTCAATAATATTTATCGCATACATGGGAGTACCTAATATTATGCGAAAGAGTGCCCGCAGAATCAGAACCAGGCCATACCTCCTATCCAGGACAGAACTTATAACCTAACTCAGTAGGATGCTAAAGCCAACTCGGACATGATATAGGGTACGTACACTATCTATAATCACCTTGCACATGTTTTAATTGATACCAGTGCGTCGCATACGTTTGTCTCACACACTTTTACACAAAACTTAAATGTATCACCGGAAAGACTTGATTTTATATTATTTATATATACTCTTGAAAGTAGGACACTACTAGAAAAAGTTATATACAAAGCTTGTATCGTAGACATAACATGTAAAAAATTGAGTGTGGACCTGATAGAGATTGACATGAGGAACTTTGATATAATTTTGAAAATAAACTGGTTAGTGGCGTACTATGCCATTGTAGATTGTTTTCACAAGAAACTTGTATTCAACCCTCCTAACGAAGTCATTTACAAGTTAATGAAAATTTTAAATGTTATTTCTCTATGGTAATTTTCTAATTATATAGCATTTTAACTCTGTTGTCTTCTCTACATTAGGAAAACCTAAGAAAGAAGTTTGCATTCAAGAGATCCGGATAGTCCAAGACTTCTCGGATATATTTCTTGATGAATTACCCGAACTGTCAATAGATAGAAAAGTCGAGTTCACCATAGATCTTCAGCTGGCACTCAGCTTATCTCTGTTGCCCCTTACCGCATGAGTTGTGTTAAGATAGAAGAATTGAGGAAACATATCAATGAATTGCAAGATAGTAGATTTATCTGATATAGCGTATCTCTTTAGGGTGCTGGAGTCACATTTGCAAGGA